ACATTTCTCAATGTTGAACTTCATGTGGTTCCAATCTGCCCAACTTGCTAGCCTATCTAGGTCCATCTGTATCTGTAGCCTATCTTCAAGTGTGACCATGCTTCCCCATAATTTGGTGTCTTCCACGAACTTAGCCAGTGAGCTCTTCAACCCCACATCCAAATCATTGATAAAGATGTTGAAAAGCACTGGACCAAGCATGGACCCCTGAGGGACACCACTGTCCACTTTTCACCAAGATGACACAGTTCATTAGGACTCTCTGGGTCCTACCCCACAGCCAGTTTCCTACCCACCTAACTGTCTCGTGGTTAAGCCCACAATCCTCCAATTTTCTCATGAGAACATTGTGGGATACCAGATCAAAGGTTTTTTGGAAGTGAAGGTATACAATGTCAACCTCCTCTCTCATCCAAGGGGTGAGTTACCTGATTGTAAAAATGATTGACATGTATTTCCACCAGCGAGCTAAAAAACAGGACTTTTTGCAGTCTATTCCTCATTTAGAAATGGACAGGCTACAAAGGGTTTAAAAAGAGGATGGTCCGGTATAAAATAGGACCAATGGCCACCTCACAGAAAGTGCAGACAGAAGTTTTGTTTGTTGCATGATCAGCCCTCTACAACTGAAAGCACTCTACAACTGTGCCCTTACAGAAATGCATGGCTGCAGAGTACTTTAAAAGAGCCCAATCCTGTGAAAATCTGAACCTGCATTACATGAGGATTCAGAAGAAGGTGCTTCAAAGCGGAGTGCCTTCATTAACTTGCGTCAGTGTGGCTGGGAGTAGGGCTGGGCTGACAGAGTTCAGCCTTGCTCTCAGTGCTGTCTTCAGATGAGAGGTGGAGAAGGGAGCTCGGGCTGAGGTTTCTCTCCCTCAGCCTAGGGAGCTTGGCACACAAGAGCTCCCCAGACATTGCAGGCTTGCAGCCACTCCAAATTACAGCTGGATCCCCCAACCCCTGGGACCCAACAGCAAATGTCTTTTGGGTCCAAGGGATCGTTAACGCATGGCACTTCCTGCAAAGTGCCGTGAGTTACAGCAGGGAGCTGCACTTCTGTTTGTGTCCACAATGACTAAATAAAGTCTTTTACAATTTTGTGCAGTCAACACACCTTGCACCAATATTTTGTGTTGCATTAATTCTCAAATACTACCTTAAGTTGGACTGAACCAATGAACTAAGGAAACTGCAATAAATTATATATAGTACCCTAAACTACTCATCTTTTCCTTTTCAAAAAATTTAACTCTTCATACATACCTCCTTTTTCCTACCTAGAAGAAAAGTTATCCCCCTCTAACTCCTTTATATTCCTTTAATCCTACAGAATTTTTTTTCTCCTAATTCTCCATACCTTCCAGATAATAGTTGTCTTGCCTTCCACACATGATTCTGCTGCTCTGGTTTCCCAACTATCTACAGTTTACTCTGGCTGCTTGCAGGCTTGACAATTCTCATAATGTTGTGAATTTTGAAACAACTGGTATTTTTTCAGGTTGGGTTCCTCCTGGAGTCTTATGATTACACAATCTCAGCTTTAACATTTAAAATAGAAGGGTCTTATTTTTTATTAGTAAGTAAATGCTGATTATTGTGGAGAATCAGGGCTTTGCGGATTCAGACAGCCTGCTACTGTGTGGGGTGAGGACCACCAGGATCGGGGGCAGGGATACAGGCATACATCACACACACACACACACACACACACACACACACACACACTACAGGCATCTGGAAAACACACACACACACACATATGTATATATATGTGTATATACCCCCCCAAACCCAGGCAACCCACACATGCACATGTTTGGTGGGTACAGGGCGTTACTGGGTGGGCATGCACAAGATGGCTTGTGGTCATGACTAACAGCTACTGCATAAGGTCCAGGTGGATAGCTGTGATGTCCACCAGCCAATCAGTGGTGGCTCTTCTGTTTGGCTCCATCTAGGAGTCTTGGGGAGCCCAAGGAGCCTGCAGGGCACATTGGGAGGTATAAGAGAACCCTCTCTACCTGCTGGGCTTGGCCCATGTAGGCAGGCTCTGAGCCCTGCCCTTCTGCAACCCCTTCCTCCCGCCCCACAAGAGCTAGCATGTGTTCTGCTTGCTCCCAACCTAACCTCTTAAGTTGGCACTTAAGAGTAAAGCTTGAAAGTTAGAGCGCTTCTCCCTCAGCCTTCTTGTCTTAACTTTTAGATTGAACATGGCTGCCACCTGCTGTCCACTCCTAGGTGGGGATATTTTTTGGCTGAAGAAATATTAAGTGACTCTAGGGTAAACAAAATAGCATTGATATTGGTTGTCCTTCATATTGAATATTAACAAAATATTTTTAATAACAAGAGAATCAATTTGTGGTTCTGCAGGTTGGGCAGGGAAATGCAGCAATGTTTCCCAGCTTTGTTTATATTTCTCCTCTCTGCCTGCAAAACAACTTTTTCCTTAATTGTTAGATCATGAGTCCCTTCTCAAAACTTTCTGCATCAGGTGCTTTAGCTTGCCAAAGGGTTTCGCTTGCTAGTTGCTATTGTAGTTTCACATGTGATTCTGTACGTATTTATAGCCAAGATCATCCTGCATTGGTATGCACACACATCTTTTCTTCTTTACCTCAAAGTAGGCTTCTGGTACCCGACTTCTGAGATGCCACCATTTCCTCCCTATCTAGATTTTGGACAGTCTGGGCTTCATTTGTGGGCAGGGAGACAGACAGGAAAGGTAAGAAAGTGACCTCAGAAGCATGTAAGTTTTCTTATTGACTTTACAGAGCTTCAGGACTCACTGTTCTTCTTCTGTTCATACAAAATAAGTGGAAAATACTCTACAGTCCCAGCCTTTTTTATCTTTTCCACAAGCTGTGTGTCCAAGTGTAGCCAGGGGAAGACCCTTCAGCCCCACAGCTAGGAAACTGGGGCAGGGCCATTGAGGGGCAGAGCAAATACCAAGTCATGAGGTCCTTGCCTTTGCTAGGGATTGCCTTTGCCACATAGCCCCTGAATTTCTTTGAACTTTTCACACATGCTTGGGAAAATCACGGGACAATGTGAGATCTCAGCCTGACTCCTCAGGGTCTTTTCTTAGAGGTTTTTCTGTGAGAGTGAACAATTGGGGCTTATGTTACAATAAATGAGATGGGAGGGGGGTAGGAGTTTTTTTTGTATCCATATATATATGTCTTGATATTTTGCCCAATAAGGCTGTTTATGAAAGATTTTTTTTAAGGCTACAGTGTTCTCCATGCATGTTTAGTCCAGGAAAGAACTGGTTCTGCCTTGTAAAAGAAAGCTTTGCACAACCTCTTTCCAGAACTTTGTTATTTATGATACTGACCTTCCGGCTAGAGTTGCAAAATAGCTTAAAAATGCAGTTAATGAAACTTTCCTAACACTTTTGATGTGCTAGTGATAACTTGTCTGCAAATTAATATGGAAATTGCTACAGCAAAGTAAATAAATGTGGACTTTGCACTTGTGTACTACTTTTTTCTGGATCCAGGCTCAATGTTGCAATCATTTTTAATTTCAGAACTCATTCTTGGTCACTGAAGGCTATATGTGACCAAACTTCTGCCTCATAAATTCTCTTTTACTTTATGCCTTAGCCAAACCTATTGATTTAATGGGATGATATAGAGGGTACGTTTTGGCCCAGAGAAACTGTAACATGATGTTAAATTACACCCAATAATAACTTAATCCTATAAATTGCCAACTGTGAGAGTGTAGGAGATGCTATGATGTTTTCTGTTTACTGGGTCATATGAAGTCTGTGCTGACACAAAGTCTGAATTTGACCATTAGCGTTGGGTCTCTATAGTACATGCCATTATTCTTCAGTCATTGAATTGGTTCAAACACATATTTCAACAATTATTTTTTTTTAATTGAGAGTCTGATAAATTCTTGGAATTGCTTTCAGTAATTTAGGTTCAGGATTATCAATTTAAAGACTACATATTAATGTGGGTGTTACAATTGTTATTATAATTAGGATTTTGGTATTGAGTATGAGTCTGAAGAGCAGGACTTTACTTCCCAGAACAGAATTCACTTTCCAGCTCTGTGATAAATATCCTGTCATCTTGGCTAAGTCACTTAATCTCTGTTTGTCTTTGCTTTCTCAAGTGTAAAATCAGGATTTACATACTATCATTGCTTATCCATATGTGGATAGGATTTGATGGGGCTGGGGGGAATATGCGGTAGGGGGCTCCCAAGCAGCCCCTCTCAGACTGGAGCTCAGCCAGCCTGCAAGAGAAAAACCACGGTTTCCCCCACTTTTCTCTTTTAAAGGAGAATCCATTTTTAAAGTTTGCTCCCAACCCTTTCATATATTCTTTCAACCCACTTCTGGGTCATGACCCATGGTTTGAGAAACACTGCCCTAGAAACTGATACCAAAGCCTCACACCCCAGCCAACCTCCTCCCCCTCCCCCCTCCCAAAAAAAAGAGAGAGAAACCTCCAGACTTTTCCATCCAAGAGTTCAGGGTTCAAAGCCCCAGGGGCATCTAATGCGTGACACCTTGCTACCCTGCAGTGTCTCAAGGCGACTCACAATTCCTGCACACCCTGCAGTGCACAAGCTCAATATAAGCTGGTGCAGCACTGCCAGCTCCCTTAACTGGCTGCAACTTTTGTCACCCTGTGACTCCCCAAGCTGGGCTTGCTTCCCACTCCCTCGCTCAGCTTAGGAGGGCAGGAAAGCTGAATGCAAAGCTATTGGATGCAACGATTTGAGCTGGTCTAATAAAAGATATCAAATTTACCCAAAGACCCTTGTCTGCCTATACCCTTAGACCAACACCACTACAACCTACACCCCTGGATTCAAAGCCCCACACCGGCAGCACAACCAGAAAAAGGTACTAAATGGAGGCAGTCTCAGCCCCTCCTTCCCCCTCCTTTTGCCCACACCCAAGATGGCGCCGGCGCGGCTTCTGCCCAATCCCGACACTTCCGGAGCAACGGGAGCGGGTCGCTGCGCCTGCGCAGTAGTTCGCTGCCGTCTCGGGCGCGCCGGCTGGTTCGGTAGCCATGCAGCGGGGCGGGGGGAGCGCGGCGCGTTCGCAGGCGTTCCGGTTGCCAGGGAGACATGGCTACGCGGTGGAATTTTCGCCCTACCTGGCGGGGCGCGTGGCGTGCGCCACCTCGCAGCACTACGGCATCGCAGGTGAGCACAGGCAGGTGGCAGTAGGGGGCAGCAGCAGGGGCGCCGGGGCCGAGGATGAAGGTGAGGAGGGGCTTCCTGACTGTGTGAGACACCCGGTACGGCAGTAGGCTGCCTGGGGAAGCGGTGGCATCTCCATAGAGTCCAATTTTTGCGGGTCTCAACCTTTTTTGTACCAGGACCCATTTGTGACCAGCCCCGATCCAGGCCCCAGCCCCACCAGTGTGTGAGGTACGAGGGGGCCTGAGCTCTGCCAACCTGCAAGGGAAAAGCTGCGTTTCCCCACACTTTCCTCCTTTAAAGGAGAATCCATTTTTAAAGTTTGTTGATGTCTTTTTTAAAGTGTGTTTGGGATCCTTTCATGTATTCTTGTGACCCACATCTTGAGAAATGCTGTCCTAGACAATGGAGGTGGAAGGGATCTCAAGAGGTCATCTAGTCCAACCCCACTGCTCAAAGCAGGGCCATCCCCAGCCATCTTTTCTCAGCCAAGGCTTTGTCACCCTGGGGCTTAGAAACCTCCAAGGATGGAGAGTCCATAGCCTCTCTGGATAACTTGTTCCAGTGCTTCACCACCCTCCGCATGAGAGAGAGTTTTTCCCAATATCTAACCTAAACTTTCCTTGCTGCAACTTGAGCGCATCGCTTCTTGTTCTGTCATCTGCCTCCACTGAAAACAGTCTGGATCCATCCTCTCTGGACCTCCCTTCAGGTAGTTGAAGGCTGCAATTAAACCATGTCTCAGTCTTCTCTTCTCTAGATTAAATAAGCCCAGTTCCCTCAGCCCTTCTTCAGAAGTCATGTGCCCCAGCCTCCTCACCGTTTTCATTGCTCTCCACTGGACTTTCTCCAATTTGATGCATTGTGTTTAGAAATAAACTCTTGTATAGACTTGTCTAAGCTGTATTTTCCTCTCTCTTTGCATTATCATCAGTTGGCCTCATTGTGTATGGAAGGACTCTTAACTATGCTGCAAGTATTTCTGCATATCAGACCATGCTAGAATGTTAGCTGCTGATGCCAGAAGCAGAACAGAAAATAGGTGAATAAGAGAAACAGAGTTTCCTTGATAAAATAGCCTGCTTATGCACACATGTGCATCTACCCTCTCTATTTGCCTTTGGGACTACAGCTGCACACTGTCTGTCATGAGAAGCTTTCAAGAGCAGGTGTGGCAAGCACTTGGCTGAGATGGTCCTGCCTTGAGCAGGGGGCTGGACTAGATGGTCCTGTGAAGTCCCTTTTAGCTCTGCTTTCCTATGATCCCCTAATTCCTAAGAAGGCTGTTTAGGCCTCTGGCTACACCAGCTTATAAGTAGAGGATCCTGAAAAAGATCCCTGGTGGGAGCCCAACAAGACTGGATCCACTGAAATTAGTTGGTGACTGGTTTAAAACTAACAAGAGAAAGTCCTTTTATTTTATTTTTTTACACCATCTTGCGGAATTCATTGCCCCAGGGGGTGGCAGAGGCAGAAAGCAGAGCCAGGTTAAAAAAAAGGGACAGTTTAAATTTGTGGATGATCCAACTGTTGATGGCCTATTAAACCGAATGGTTGGAGATGTTTCCTTTGGCATCTCTAAACCAGTAATGGTGGATGCCAGGGAGGGTATTGAAAAGGGGGTAGATCACTCCAGAGAGAACCAATTCAGTGCTCTCCTTCTTTAGCATCTGTTTCTGCCACTCTGCCTTTTGATGTGCCATTCCAGAATGTGGGCCAAAGCCCACCAAGCAGAGCTTATAAGCCCCCGTTGATGAGGGTGGCCACTAAGGGCACATCACTGATTGCTTGAGGCAAAAGATATAACTGTCAGAGGCAGACTATTGGGCTAAATGGACCATTGATCTGACCCAGTACAGCACTTCTCATGTTCTTATGATGGTTACAGAGCTGGGCATGCTGTACATAGAAGCCTGAACCTGTACAACCTCACACCACTGCTTTTCTGCACAACAAATGAAAGAAGAGCCACAAAGCATAACAAAACCTATTTGCTATTTTTTATTCCTCCCATTCAGACAGGAAATAACTGCAGCGAGCCAATCTCTTTCCCTCAAATGCCTGCACAAGTTACTAAGCTTTAAGACATGCGTACGCTCACATTTTAAATACCCTTAGTATAGTGTAAGTGTTACGTGTAACTTCACATGCAGGTGTGCAGCTTCTGAAGCCTGGGTGAAACAACTTGCTTCTAAAGAGTTAGTTTGGCATGCTTTGGTACATTCAGGACTGAGGGCCCAGTCCTGCCTTAAAATCAATTGCTGCTTGCCCCTTTCACTGAAGTGGAAGCAAGAGGGCTGCTGCTCTTTTTGTGTTGTTGTTCATCATATAATTACCATGATAGAGGAGAGTCTATATACCTAAACTGAATGTAAAATCTTTTTACTGTATTTTTTATGGAACCAAAACAGCTCACATATTTCCATCTCTTCACAAAGTTGCTTTTGTAAAAAGCTTTTGTTAGCTGCAAATGCATCATCAGACTCCTAAATTGTGTACATCTTGTCAACATCTTCCAAAACTTTTGTGATTTCCCCCCTTCTTTGTTGCTTCTGCGTTATGCAGATGTGATTTGTGTTATTTCTTTTTTCTAATGTGTGATGGTCAGTTTCAGAAAGTGACCTTCACATTTGTCCTTGCCCCTGAGCCTTGGTGCCAGCTTTGCCTTTGTTTCCCTCCCAACCAGATTTTTTTTCTGTGTTTTTTTCCCTGTCGCTGGTAGAAAGGTATCTGGGAATCCCATGCCACAGGGTTTTGTTGGTTGCCAATTGGGGCCAGGAAGAAACTGAGTATTGTTTCTTGTAGTTTTGCTTAAGAATTTAGAGTTATAATGGGGGGAAGAAGGGTTCTTCAGTGTCTGTGAATGCAGACTTAATAGCCTGTGGGGGCCTCTTCCAGTCCTATGTTCCAATCCAGAAAGATCCTCTCAGGGGAAAACTAAGTTTGTGATGGCAGTATGCTTGAGTAGCTTAAAAACTAGTCTGATGTGCAGGGTAAATACATTGGAAGAAAAAAGTTTCTCTATTCTTAGCAGAGACAGGTCCCAGCTCCCTTCTTGTAGTCCCATTGCCAGGTTGAGGTTTTACCCAGTCTTGTAAGAACAGTATGTGAACATGTTCAGACACAAATGGGCTTGTTTTTTTCTATTTATGAGCATCTCCCTCATATATGTATGGTTTTCTTAGGATTGAGTATCTCACTTCATCCACAGTAAATTTTAGCTTTATCAGATCTTTTATCTGAAGGGCTGTAGTATTATCTCCGGTATATTCTCACTGGATTGTGAAAAATCCTATACTAGTATATCTGTGACATAAGGCTTCTCGGAAAAATATGAGAAGTGTTTTCCTGCTTTTTTCCCTCATGAGCTGTCCCTTTCCCCACTTTTCTAGTAGATATTTAGAAAACTGGTGCTAATGAACTATCTAGATCAGGAGTAGGCAAAATGGTGGATTCTGCCTGTGGCTGGACTCCATTTCCCAGCAGCCCCTGCCCACGTCACTGCAGCCGGCTTCCATGGAGACCCCAGTAGCAGCAATGTTGTGACTGCCTGGTGGCAGGGTTTCCATGGAGACCGGCCCCAGCAGCGCTGGTGGGGCATATGGCTGGGTGGGGACCTGCTCGTGGGTACTGAGACCAAGGCAGAGCCAGGGTGTACGGGCAGGAGGTCACAGCTCTGCCCTGGCACCAGACCACGCTGTCACCCAGCCCAAGATCCAAGCCCTGGAGCAGCTCCCCGCCCACCCATGTGCCCTGCCAGTACTGCTGGGGCCTGTCCCCATGAAAACCTTGGCTGTGCGCTGTCACAGTGCCGCTGCTACTGGGGTCTAATTGGAAACCAGCTGCAGCAATGTGGGCAGGGGCTTCCGGGAAATGGAGTCTTCCACAGGCATGATATGGCCTGTGTGTCAGACTTTACCCACCCCATATCTAGATGGACATAAGTATACCCAAACAAGTTACCTCTAACTACAGTTAATTGTCCTAATCTGTCAAGGAGGTTCATACTCCTTCCATATTTGCATTGACTGAAAACCTTTGTTTCATATTTCCCAGTGGATTAAGCCAATTGGTGGTTTGTTTTGCTTTGTTGTTGCAGGTTGTGGGACGCTAGCAGTGCTAGAACAAAATGAAACTGGGATTGGTCTTCTCAGAAGGTAACACATTTTTGCTTATTAAAATGGAAAGATTTGTGTTATAGCCTGTCGTGCAAAGACTGACCAGGTTATTTCAGAATCTCTCTTAGGGAGTCTATACATCTTTGTACTTAAATACAAGTTGCCTTCCTTTTGTTTGCTTCTAATATTAAATATCATTTTTAAAGCTGAAGGTGACACACCACCCATGACACGCATCATTTTAAGGGCAACAGAGGAATCGGCTGTCATACTTTGATGTTGTGTCTTCCTTCAGAACTAGTGTGTCATCTCATAGGTGCTTTCATCTAAGCTCCCCATTGAATGGGCTTGAAGGAGTAGAGCCAGATACTGTTTTGTATGTTTCCCTGTAAGTAGAGGTGTGCTGATACATTGGTCCGATATCAGATCAGTACTGATATAAAGAAAATTGACTATATCAGAAATTGGCTTTTTTCCCTGATGTGGCCGATAATGTAGCTGATAAATGGGTTGTGCGTATACGCAGCTGTAGTGCAGCATGTAGCAGTAAGGAGCACAGCCTGGCAGCATGGAGAGCTGCGTATAGCTGGTAGGTCTACTGTGGTGGAAGGGGGAGGGAAGGGGCATGGGGGTGCAGATCAAGACCCCCGCATGAGGGAGGGAGTGGGGCTGGGGCAGGGGTTGATGCAGGGGTAGGGGGGCAGCTCCCACTGCTGCGTATACTACGTGGGAGTGGGGCATGTGCCCTGGATCTGCACATGTAGTACAGGCAGGCTGGAGGCTGGGGCTGCGCTGGGCTCTTCCCGGCGGGGGCTGGGCCAGGCTGCACTCAGAGCGGGATGGGTGACAGCTCTGGGAGGTGGGGCTGGGGGGTCTATGGCAAACTTTGGGGTGGCTGAAGCCAGCCTATAGCCTCCCTCCCAGTGCCGTCACTACGTGCCCCGAGTGCAGCCCAGTCCCCACCAAGAAGAGCCCAGTGCAGCCCTAGCCCGCAGCTGCAGCCTGTCTGCACCCTGTGTGCAGATCTGGGGGCACTTGCTTCCCCCCTCCCCCCCCATGACCTACTGGGGTGCCTGCAGCAGTGGGAGCTGCCCCCTCTCCCAGACAAGCCATGGCTCCATCCCATGCACTGCCCTACCCTAGCTGGGCAGTGCCTGCCCCAGCTCCACTCCCTCCGTCACCACAGGGGCCCTGATCTGCCTGCCTCACACCTCTTCCCTTCCCCTGCCCCTTCGACCTCAACAGACTTAGCAGCTGGACACTGCTCTTCAAGCTGTCGGGTTGCGTATCGGAAATTGGATTGGTATCGACTGATATGCCTCCTTAAAAATCAGCTATTAGTGTCGGTCCCAAAAATCTCTATCGGTGCCTACCCCTACCTGTAAGTATTTTTGAGGGTATATGATACCTTTAAGTATGAATGTCAAACTCGCCCAGGGCCAGATCCAGACCATTGGCCCCACTGGGGGCTTGTTCCACACTGGATCCATGGTGCTGTGCTCAGGTGGCAGCATGGGTTCAGTGTTACACAGCATGTCTGTGCTGCCACCCAAACATGGCTCCATTCAGTTGCACACACCTGGCTAATGCTCCATCCCTCTGCATACCCTTGGATTCTCGCTGCTGCATGCCCTCAATCCAGCATTGCTGCATGCTCATGTCACTGCTGACCAGCCGGAGTTCTGTGCTGCTGCCCAAATGTGGCTCCAGGCAGCCACGTGGTTCCAGCTTTGTGCCACTGCCCAGTGGTGTGGAGTTCTGGCTGGTCTGCGGTGCTAGGGGTATGTGGTGTTGTGGACCTACACTTCCAATAGCACACTGGATTGCTGGTAGGCCAGATGCAATGGTTCTGCAGGCCAAATCCAGTTTATAGGCCATGTGCCTGACACCCTGCTCTAAGGTGGTTAGCACCCCTCACAGCTCAGCTGTGTCTCACTTAAAAACTGGTGGAGCCACGACTAGAAGAAAAATTTTGAAACACACTGAAATGCAAACTGATTGGTTGGCATAATCTGAGAAGAAGGCTTAAATTTAAGTATAGTAAGCAACTCAACTTTAGGATATAGAGAATATTATTTTTCAGTTGATAATTAGGTAGCTTGCTGCTCTTAGCTATTAAACAATCTACTAAGCACTTTCTGTCTTCTGAGTTTGCGGTTCTATAGAAAGTTCTATGTTTTTATTATAACCCTGAAGACTGTTCTGTGTTTACCACTACCATCTGTAAGGCTCTTCTTTGAGACCAGTGTTCTTATGGACATATGGTGAATACAGTACCCTAAAGAACATGTTGGTAAATCTTTGAATGTAACTGATCCAACTACTTATTAAGTCATTTCTCATGGATGAATATCTTGATTACCCTGGTTTAGTTTTGACTGGAGTGATGGCCTGTTTGATGTGACATGGAGTGAGAACAATGAACATGTGCTGGTCACTTCTAGTGGGGATGGATCTCTGCAAATCTGGGACACGGCTAAACCTACAGGTCCACTGCAAGTGTATAAAGAACACACTCAGGAGGTAAAAGAGGCACACTTGAAACTTTAAATCCACTGCCTTTTTATTGCTTGCATTATTAAGCTGGGGGGAGGGGTTGCTTTTACCAAATCACTTTTCCAAATGTGAGTTTCTTTGCTTGGGGCTACACATAACCTATAGCTAGGAGCTATATGTAACCTTTTAAAAGTGAACTAAACAGGAGCAAATTTTTTTGAACATGAGCTAAACTACAAAGTGCATGTGGAATAGGTGACATTTAGTCATGTGACATTAGTCACGTGACACTAACACATTTCATGGGATGTTTCAGTGATTGTCCTCTTGATTCTTCAGAGGGGTTAGGTAGCAGTAGCCCTTCAATGGTAATTCCTCTGGCTTCATAAGAAGTGTTAGTGAACAGACCAGGTCTCAGCCAGAGGGTTTCACAATTTAAAGAGAAGAGTTGGACACAATCCAGAGATTACAGCCATGTTTAAGGAGAAACATTGAGAAAAGCATGGTTTTGTATATGGGTATGATCAACCTTCCAGTAAATCTATTGACAGAATTTCCATATTTACGTGAATCCAAGACAAGTTTTCTCCCCCACCCCCGCCAGTCAGCAAGGGGTGGAGGGTGAGGAAAGCCTTGTCTAGGATTTAAGTATCAGCCTGGGCTAGATGGGGGCGTGGTGGGGGGTCAGCTTTGACTTTGGTCCCAGGCTCAAGGCTGAAGCCAGATGTGTTCTGCCACCTGTCCCAGGCTGGAATGTCTTGTTGGGCAGGGAAGCTGCTGTCGCTTCTCATGTGCTGGGCTGGGGCAGGGCCAGGGCCACTACTGCTGCTGACTGCTCCAGGGGAGCAGAGCTGCAGTAGAAGATATGGCCGAGTGGTGTGCAGGGAGTCTAAGGAGGGCAGGTACACTGTGGGGAGAGGGGGTGGGTGCAGGCTGCTGGAGGAAATAGGAGGTGGTGGAGATGGGTTGTAGTGGGGAGTAGGGATGAGAGGCAGGCTTTGGGATGAGCAGGTAGGGGAGGCAGGCTTCAGGGGGGCATGGAGGTGAAGGCAGGCACAGGCACAGAGGGGCAGGCAGCACCAGGCCAGGGACAGGGGGAACAGGCACAAGTATGGGGAGTGGCATGGGATAGAAGAGAAAGGGGTGGGAGTCTGGCTGTTCAACCCCCACAGCTGCTTTCCCCACAACAGCAGCTGAAGGGACAAATTTATGATGTCCTTCCACCAAATAGATTCTGTACATGGAGATTATAACAAAGTTATACTTTCCACATATAGAATCTAATTATTGGGGTGGGGGTTGTCCAAAAGCCATTTTGGATTTGGATTAATATAGCAAGACTAATGTTTTTGTAAAATCAATTTGTTTACCCCTACAGTATTAATAAAGATAAAATAATACTGTATTATAAGGTATTTTTTCATGTTCCGTTATATGTGTGTATGTATGTATGTATGTGCATTTATGCATATATATATATCGACACATGCGCATGCACACACACAATATATATATTCTAATATTATAAAAGCCTTAATCTGTTTGTCTGTCTGTCCGTAACATTTTACTGAAATAGCCAATCAGAGTGTGAATACAGCTTTGGGACAGTAGGTGGCAGTGTGGTGGAGTGCCACCATGATGACAGGGACATGGGATGGAGGCAGTGGCAATGGAGCGGATGGAACAGGGAGGTGGCGTCACCCTCCCTGCCCTGCTTCCTGCAGGAGGCAATGATGGAGCAGAGTGGTGGGGAGGCCACCAGAGCTGGCTTGGCCCCCCGCCCCTTGCTCCTTGGAGGTGGCAGTGGTGGCACAGTGGGGGAAGCAGGGCCAGGATGCCGCAGAGGGGCAAGGCCACCAGCGCTGGCCTTGGTCTGCTTCTCCCCCCTTCCATTGTCACTGCCTGCAGGGCCGACATGGGTTGACGTGGTGGTGGGGGGGGAGCAGCAGGCCCGGCCCAACGTGGCAGAAGCAGTGGGCCTAGGCCCACTCTTT